TGCTCTGAGCACATCTAAACATTTGGAGAAAAACAAGAAAGCGAACAATAGACGCTTGTGGGCTGGAGAACAGGGCTAATTTCCCCCAGGGACTAGAGCACTGTTCATAAACTGCCCCAGCTGCACTCTCACGGTCAGGATGTCACTGGAGCCTTGCTGAATTACAGCCTTGTCCTCTCCGGGGGCAGGCTGTGGGCTCCTGTTATACATTGTGGGGGGAATGCAAATGCCGTGGGGGAGCCAGCTGTTCAGGGGGAAGGCATAGTCTCCTGCTTGAATTTTAGGAAATCACACAAAAAATATGCATCCGAGCCTTGGTGCTGTAGCTCTGCCAAATCATCCTCTGACAGACATGTCCTGATCACAGCTGTTTGCCTCACAGGAAAAGAATCAGGTTTCTGTCAAGCGGACTCTGGGCACAGCCCCAGAGAGTCTGATGGGGTCCCAAGGACCTGGAGAGTATGTGGAACTAACTTGTGTGGAGAGCAATTTGGCGAGGAGGCAATGGCATTGGTGTCCTCAAAAAGAGGCCCAGGGCTGGGTGTGGTGGCTCATGCCTGTAATCTCAGCACTTTGGGAGGCTGAGACAGGAGGATCACTTGAGCCTATGTGTTTAAGACCAGCCTGGGCAAGATGGTGAGAACCTCTCTCTCCAAAAAAAAAAAAAAAAAAAAAAGAAAAGAAAAGTAAAAGTTAGCTGGGCATGGTGGTGCATACCTATAGTATCAGCTACTCAGGAGGCTGAGGTGGGAGGATCACTTCAGCCTGGGAGGTCAAGGCTGCAGTGAGCCGAGATCGTACCACTGCACTCCAGCTTGGATAACAGAGCAAGACCCTGTCTCTTAAAAAAAGAAAAAAAAGGCCCACTGGTTATTGTGCTGAGTAGGGTGGGCATGGTGGGCCAATGGTGGGCTTCTTGGAGCTGGCGCCCCTCAGGCTTTTTGGACAGTTGCTGCCCATCATCACAGACAAGGGCAGCAGGGGCAGGGTGTGGTAGGTCAAGAACAAGTTGGTGAGTGGAGGGGTGCAAAACAGAGCTCAGACCCCCTCCTCATTCACAGCTGGCCGGGTGGTGCCGACCAGGCCCTGTCAGGCTAAATCCCTCCATCCCATGCTCCCGGCCTCCATCCCCCAGACCCCAGACAACTTGTGAGGGATGTCCCTGTCTGGATAGCATCCCTGGAAAAGGCCGCAGTGTTTCTAAAGAGGCTGTTCAGACATCACATCACAGTCCCAGACGGTCAAGTGGCTCCTGCGCTCACTTGGCAGGTCTCCCTGAGAAACGCTTTGGATCAGAGAGTACTGCTAGGTTGTTTTTGCCTGAAGGAAGTAGTAAGAATTCAGCGAGCACCCCACAGTTGAAAGAAAAGTCAGCGGCTTTACTTGCTGAAAGTACCAGTACAGAACCCCCTGAGAGAATGTGAGGCACCACACACTAGGTGCCCCAGATGAGGGGCCTTTGGGGAAAGTGAGAGGAATTGAGAAACAAATGGTTTGGTTTCTGGAGAAGGAGGAAAGTGTTTCTTAGTGTCTAAGAGGTTTAAAATGGTTGTGCTATGCCATGCCTGGAGCAAGATCCAAAGGCAAAGGTCAGGAGCGTTTTGCTGAAGAGGTCTTCCTGAGAGCTCAGCAGTCCTTCCTGCCCTACTTCACTTAGCAAACCCTGACTGAGGACTCCTGAGATGCACAGGATTGAAAGACGAACAAGAAAGCTCACCTTCAAACTCCCAGGCCAGCCCTTTGTCCATGCTGATGGTTACACAGTGTGGACAGGGCAAGAATAGGAGGTGGACAGCCAGCACACAGCGCACACACAGACACTGGAGCCTGGGGAGGCAGTAGCCTGAGCGGTGTCTTCAAGGGCAAGCCAACGCTGGCCAGGCAGCCAAGGAGGTAGGGTAGATATTCTCAGCAGAGGGAACAGACTGTGCAAAGCCTGCCAGTGACAGCATGGCCCCCAGGCAGAGCGTGGACAGTGATAAAGTGACAGGTGCCCAAAGAGGAAAAGGTATACCTTATACCCTCTGCTTTTAACTCCCTTGATTTTCTTTTTTGTTTTTTTTTTTGAGACAGAGTCCCACTCTGTCGCCCAGGCTGGAGTACAATGGCATGATCTTGGCTTACTGCCTCCCAGGTTCCAGCGATTCTCCTGCCCTAGCCTCCCAAGTAGCTGGGGTTACAGGTGTGCACCACCAGACCCGGCTAATTCTTGTATTTTTAGTAGAGATGGGGTTTCTCCATGTTTGCCAGGCTGATCTCGAACTCTTGACTTCAAGTGGTCTGCCCGCTTCGGCTTCCCCAAGTGTTGGGATTACAGGCATGAGCCACCACACTTGGCCAACTCCCTTGACTTTCTATACACCTGGCACACGGGAGCTTCAAAACCCTGTGGCAGGAGGGCCTCTCTGGAGTCAAGTTCCATCCCTTCTGGTACATTAACTAAAGGCCTGTCCCTGGCTTCCGTGCTGTAGTGACTCCCACAGGGATCGGTCTCCAGGCTACTCCCTCCTCCCATACCTAATGCTTTCCTGAAAACCCTCTGGTCCACCATGCCAGAGGCAAGCAGTACACTTGCATGGTATGAGGGAAGGGTCTGTTCCCAGGAAGCAAACCAATATTATCACTGTATTTTCCTGATTTCTGGTCTCACAGCGTCGCCCCAGCCCAGTCCTGAAAAACTGCTATTAAATCAATGCAGCTTTAAAATTGAGAGAATCCGGTAGATCCCAACTACACCCACCTTTTAGACACAATCTTTGACCATATACATTCAGAATTTCATATATGTTCCCTAATTGTATTCTTTTTCTTCACAATTGGACACACAGTTGACTGGCTTAACTCCAGTGAGCATCTGATGGAGGCTGAATAACCCCACTTTCAGCACGCCTAATGATTCCCATCTTGGTCTCAATTATGTGAAATCTGTGAGACCTGCCCTTCTTATCACTAGCATCAGCACTTCATTTTTCCATTTCCACTTATTCTTATACAATAATAGGGCTAAAATACAAGAAAATATTCAAATACTTGCACAAACACTGCTGAACAGTCCAAAAGTGATGCTGCTGAAATGGAGCTGTTGGCCAGCAGGCAGCACTACCATGTGATGGCTTTGAAATGTTTTCCTTCACCTACCAGCCTGGGAGTTCTTGAAACCAGAGGCTGGTTCAAGGGGTTGGGGTAGTGGTGGTGGTGTTGGTATGGGTCATTGCAGAATGCATGAATAAAAGGATGTGCCAGGAAAAGTTATAGGCTGAATGTTGTCTAGAACGATCGCACCATCTGAAGCTCATGGGGTTATAAATCCTGGCACCTACGGCCCAGATGGCCAGGCACTGCTATAGGTTGAGGCTGCTGGTGAAGGCTTCTCTCCAAGCAGCTTGTGTTGCATCCCAAATGTGCTCGATTAACCTTCCAACATCTCCGTCTGGAGGTGCATGGGGGTGGGGTAGAGACTGCCATGATATTTTATAGCTGGGGAGATTCTGCACACTCATCAGGAAGGAAGGTCAAGTTCTAGGTCACACCTTCCCAGACGTGGCTCCAGGCTGGCCTGTTGCAGGGGGGAATAGTGGGGGAGAAAGAAAAAGCTGCTATCATCTGCAGAGATAGGGGGCTTACTGGCCAACAGAGTGGTGAAAGGACACTTAGTGTTGCTTGAAGAAATTCCTCAGGAGGCTCAAGAGTGCCTGGAAACAAACACCCAGGATTTCTCTGCCACTTAGCAACCCAGGTAGAGGAACGTGACTTACGTCTCTAAGCTTGCAGTGAGTGTGGTCCTGGCCAAGCTCAGGCTTTCTAGGGCTATACTGAGAAGAGAGTCCCTCTCCTCAAAGATACCTGATTACCAAAAATCTTTCCTCAAAGCTTCTTACTCTGGAGTCAGAGTCCTCCCTGAAGTGGTAAGAATTTTGCAAGAAGTGGTAGGTGGAAACCTGGTCTTTTAGTTCATGACTAGCATGTTAGAAGGGACTGAACCCGGTCATGAGGGCAGGAGACTTGGCCTCCAGGCTCACCTCCATGCTGTCTTTCTGAACGGCTCTGGACAAGTTCCTTCATTTGCAAAATAATACTGTTGGTCTATGATGGATTAGCTTTAATACTCGAGTTATTAGAGTATTGGTGAAATATGACAGCATGTGAAATGTGAAAATCATAAACTGTGATTAAAAATAAAGATCTTAGGAGGTACGTATGCTTTTTGCAGCTGGGAAATGTAAGTCCAACCTTGGGATTTATAACAAACTACCACAGGAGAACTTTTGGGCTCCCAGTCAGGCCTCAAACAGGCATCACAAAAGGATAAAGTCAGTTGCTCCTGAATCCAACCCTCCCAAGCTGGTTCTTCCTTCATCTGCCCTGGATGGAAGGGCGGCAATTTCCCTTCAAGATGCTGACAGTATGAAAGCTTTGTTTGCAAGCTGGGGTATGAACACCTCCTTTTTAAGATTAAACATAAGACCAAGCATGCTTTTCAGAGCTGCTAAGGCCCACATTTTGTGTTTAGCTTTGAGTTCCCAAGACCCAGTCTGAAAGGCAGTGTTTCCTCTACCTTTAAAGAAGAAAATGGGAAAGAGAGGTGGGTTTGGGGATTCTTATTTTGCAAACTTCCCTGGAGACAATGCAAAAACTCCTCTGCAGCAGCAGGTAAACACCTGAGCTGGGAAGGAAAGCTACCTGGTAGTCCCAATGAATACCGGCAAGACAAGAGCAGGGAAGAGGCGGGGCAGCTCCCCTACCAGCTGAAAGCTTACTTTTGTTTGAACCACGTCCCAACCACCCCCTGCCTCCCCTCGGGAGGGAGGGAGGGACCAAACCAAGAAGGGTGTGATTTTCCCGAGGGGCAATTGCTAAAATGAAGTCGGACATCGTGTTTGGGCTACAAGCTGTGGCTGCAGGAAGCCAGGGCTGATGCCCTTCCCGCAGCCTCTCTCTAGCCCTGAACCTGCGGGAAGAAAGTACTCCCCCTTCCAGCCCGTTCAGGTTGGTTTGCGCTGGAATGCCACGCTTTTCAAAGTGTCTGAGTGATAGGCACTTTCTAAATATGTACAGCGATGGTCTGATAAGCAACTAAGCGTCTGGCTTCGTGGGTTCATGCCCCGAGGCCGTGCGGCCGGGGGAGGGTTGGGGGCTCAGCTCCAACCTCAGCTCCTCCTTACAGGCCCGGCTTGGAAACGGTCCCGTTCACTGCTGGGGTTCCCATTTTCCCATTTTTACTTCTGGGACTGGAAGAACACAAGAGACATCTCCCCACCCCCATCTCCTGCATCCTGCCCGCGACTCAGCCCAGGTGACCCAAAAGGCTGAGTCAACTTGGTGCAACCGGAGCGTCCCCATCACGCCGGCCGCCCCCAGCCCCCTTCGCCCCTCGCTTGGCCCCACAATGCGCCCTTGTGCAGCGCCTGCAGTCAGGCCGGGGATTTGGCCCAGGGATGGGGAGAATATTCGTCAGATATTTAAAACAGAGCCGAGAGAACAAAGCAGGCCTTTGTGCAGCGAGGCGGCCCGGGAGCTGGGAGCCGGGCTACCCTCCCTTCCTCCTCCGAGCGCACAGGGCTGGGCCAGGCGAATGCGCATGCGTGCAGCGACCAGCGGTTCCGGGCCAGCTTCTACCCCAGGTAAGCCGGGCGCTGCGTTAGCCCCTTCCCGCCCTGCGCCCCCGGCGGCCGGAAGCAGAAGCTGGCTCTAGTCCGCAGGCGGCTGCATGTGTAACTGAAAAAAGAAATAGTCATCCTCCATGTTTCTATAGGACGCACAGATCAGGATAAAATGATACACCACTTGAGAAGCCAGATTTTAAATGACTGGAAATAATAGGACACTTGAGTCATGTAAAAATCAAGATATTTGGAAAATAGGCCATTTTCGGATGCTAGAAGTGGAACCTTTTGATAGGCACAGGCTTCTTCCGGGTTGTTAATGCTGGAAGACCGGCTCTTTCATTTTTCTGTTCACCGTCACTTGGAATTTGGAAGACGTGTTGGTTGTTGTCAAGGGCCCAGCTTTTGTTTTAGGTTGTGGGCTGACTGGACGGTGTTTATTTATTTTTTTAAAAAAATAACTAAATAGCCAAATACAAGGATGCATGGTACAAAGATGAGATTGTGTCATGAACCAAGAAATGTATAATTAATGAAATTTTATGCAGAAGAAAGGGGAAAAGAGTAGCTATTAAATACATGTTGTTGGGGAAGAAGATTGAAAGTTTTCTCAAGTAGGATAGACTAGGAGTGAGTTGGTGGAAGGTGGCATATGCAAAGTACTCCCATTCTGCTTTATATTGACAGTGTTTGCACCCCATAGGTAATGGGTGCTAGCAGACAGAGGTTAGAGGAAGCCAGTGGCCGGCTTAGAAGTCAGTTATTGTGCTTGAATCATTCAGATGGGTGAGAAAGGCAGTCCCAACCAGATGATCTCACAGCCTTCCAAACGCAGCTCCTGGAGCATGTTCAGTGAGGTTAGCTGGACCTCCCCATCAAACAAGTCAGGGGGCGCGCAAGGACTCAAACGGGGTCTCATGACTTGTAGCCTAAGTCTCTGTAGTAGCCCACCGTGCGCCAACTGTGGACACACATCTGAGGAATTTATGGCTTTCTTTTTCCTTCATAGCTCAATTACCTGGTGGTCACAAGAAAGCAAAGGGATTTTTATGTGACTTCATTTTGGCAAGAAGCTCCCTTACCAACCTTGACCTCCAGGTGTCCATGGCAAATGCTGCTGGGACATCATTGGCACCAGATCATGTCCGTTAAATGCCACGCTGCAGCAAGGACAGATAAACATTTTCATGGCAACAGTCACGTAGCAAACTCATTCTTAAATGTGGGCTGGTTAGTTAGGATGATGTAAGTGGTTTTTTTCCACTCTCTTCCACATTCTGGCTCCAGAATTCTAGGCCTAGGACATAGTCAAAGAATGTACCTTGGGGTATGAGGTAAGAAAACAGGCTGGGGTGGGGACTTGAAGTACCTTCTAGATACAAGGACAAATTATCTTTCCTTTCCCAGGTGAGAGTTCATTTTCTGTCTTGGTTCAACCAAAGTATGTTATCTTTATTTAAAGGAAGCTATAATAGATAGTCTCCAAGATGGCAGACTTTAGTTCTTTCCTTCCTCAGATTCATGGGCTGCTTCTCACCCCTTAAATCTGGTCTACCTGACCAACAGAATATGGTAGGAGTGACATTCTGGAACTTCTAAGGCTTGGTTTTAAGAAGCCTTGCAATATATGCCTGGATCTCTTAGAACCTTCAATACTGGAACACTTGCTTTAGAAATCGGCTACCATCCTGTGAGAAGTCCAAGCCACAGAGAGAGGCCAGAAATAGTTGCTGCATTTAAGAGCCCTAGTTGAGCTCTCAGCCAACATTCAGCATCACTGCCAGCCATGTGAGTGATGCTGACCTTGGACGTCCAGCTTAGTAGAACCTTCAGTCCTAGCCATTCCAACTGCAAGATATCCTGAGTGAGAACCAGTTAGCTGAGCCCAGTCAACAGAGATGTGAGAGATAGCAATGCACTGTTCTGAGACACTAGGTTTTAGGGTATCTGTCCTGTAGCAGTAGGTAATTAAAGAGGAATGACATGCTAGGTAGGTTGGGGAAGATAGGAGAAGACCTCCTGATAGCCACTTTGAAAGGCTTTATTTCTCAGGATTTTTTGCCCCTGCATTCGCCTAACACTATTCCGGCTTTCTGAGCTGTGTCTGGCACATGGCACCACATAAACCTTGTACTGCTAACTGTGCCATGTATATTGGTCTCCTCAGGTCAATGGTGGACACCTTGAAAGTAGGGACCTATTTGGTTTGATTCCTACCCTCCTTAGCACGGACAGATTTGTCAAGCTGTTCCAGTGGATAAATAATGGAGGATGGCTGCTGGAAAAGCATCTTGAGGTGCTTATGTGGCTTGGCTTCTGATCTTTGACATTTGATAGCTGATGAACATGCTATTTGGGCCCACCCGGGAGCCAGCCACACCATGGGGGAGTCTGAACCTCACCCACACTGTGGCTGCTCAGGGGAAGGAGACCAGGGCCAAGAATGCAGTTGCTAACCTCCTGCTTAGATTTGCCTCTTTGGGGGCAACCCTCGAAACCTAAAGAAGAGCTAAAACTGTGTGGATGGGAGAACCCAGGAGAAGCTCAGAACCTATTATAGGAAGGAGACAGGGTCAAGATCTCCCCCAGCTGCCCATCTAGGGATATGGATGTTTAAGCCATGCTAGGGTCAGAAGTGGCAACATAGGTTAGCTTGAGTAGAACCTGGTGCCTGTGCAGGAACCCTGCCTTCTGTGGGCTACTTGGGAGGCCAAGGAGGGAGGATGGCTTGAGTCTGGGAGGTCGAGGCTGCAGTGAGCCATGTTTGCACCACTGCAGCACAGCCTAGGCAACAGAGTAAGGCCCTGTCTCATAAAAATAAAAAGTCTGGAGAGCCCAGTGCGTATGCAGAGCTTGGGAGAGAGAGAGAGGAGAAAGGCAGGACAAAGGTGGCTCGGGAGGCGGTCCTTCATTCTGCCAATAAACATTCTTTTGTAAATCGTATCTGGCTTGAGGCACAGGGTAGGCAGAAAAGAGCAAGGGAGACAAAGTCCCTGTCTCAGGTAAAATACCTAGAGGAGTTGTGGCTCCGATACACATCTCATGACACAGGCAGAGCTTAGCTGACCATGGGTATGGGGGAGCTGTGGTCTTCCCTCCTCATTGTATCCCAGTCTTTTGGCTTTGTGAAAGACCTGGAACTCCTATGCTATGAGGTGGTAATGAATGTGGGCAGTAGAGCCACATGATCTAGTCCAGGTCCCGGCTGCATCACTTATTGGCTGTGTCACCTCGGGCAAGCTACTTAAACTCCTTTAGTGTCTCATCAGCAAAAACAATAACAGTAACAGTGCTTCATCTCAGGGTAGTCTGAGGATTTCAAGCGATCCTCCTGGTAAAGTGACCCCTTAGCTCCACGTGTAGCACCGCAGGCGCTCCGGAGCCACCTGCTTCTATCCTATGTACTTCCCACAAGGCATGGGAGGGCTCTGGATGTGAAATTATCTGCAAGGTCCAAGTAACTTTTGCTTAGAAAAAACAAAAGGGATGATGAGAGAAGAAGAGGAAGTCTCACATAGGAATGAAATTGCCCAGGGCCCTGTTTCCCGAGAAGATCACACAGGAGTCATATGACATTTTTCTGACTTTCCTGGTCAGGGTGCTTGCCTGTGTCCCACCACCAGGAACTGCCCACGCATGCTGAGTTTCAATAGCACTGAGATCCTAGGCTGCTTTTCCTGAAACTCAGAAGAAGCTTGGGCTTCCCTACCACAAGACCAGAGGTGGCTCCCAGGTAATTGCCTGGTAGATACAAGAGCCATAGAGGACTTGGAATTATGAGGGTAGGGAACTGCAGTTAGGGGGATCCCAGAGTTTCAGGAAGCATTTTGGTTCCATCCCTTGACTCCACTTCATGGTCTGGCATATGGAGGTACCAGAAGTGCTAGGAGAGCTGTGATTGGCAGGCCTTGCTCCCTGCCCATCTTCCCTCTTAGCTTTCCCAGAACCATAGCCCCCTTCAGACTGGGCATATGGGCAGATAACACAGGATATCGTGCTGGGGACGCATTTCTGAGAGGGGGTGACTGCCCTTGCCCATAAGTATGAGTTACCTTTGCCAAATATCCCTGCAGTGTAAAGTGATCGGCAAAGGGGACCACGGTCCTTTGTTCTACACCCATCGAATGTGCTGAAATCAGATTCTTTTCCAAGCAACACATCCACATTATGCCACCATTCAGACGACACCAAGAGCTAATCATCCTAAGTATGAGATGTGTTCTCTGGTGAGATGCCTGCACCTCCACGGGGAAGGTCATTCTCTTGCAAAAATGCCCACTTCCTCTCATCTTTCAGGGACCCCCTTCCTGACCAAAAAGCTCAAGGTAGGCAAATCTAGAGCCCAGTGTTTGGGCTACATTCCAGACTCCTGGTGTTTCCAACCCACAGGGCTTATATTCACTGCAAATCTTTACTCTCCTTAAAAGTAGTTTAACAGAAAGAAGACATTTGATCTTTCCTTAGTACATCTCAGTAGTTAGATTTTCACTGTCATCTGAATTCAAGACATAGAAAAACAAAGCACAAAGCTCTACTGGTCCTTCTGGTTTACCCATCATATTCCATTACCTTCTAAGAAGTCTGCCTTATTAGCATGTCTGATCACTTGAGGAACACCTGGCTGGAATGTTTAGATGGTAGCAAGGGAATGATTCGCTTATTTTCCTCCTCAGATGTAATTCTTTGGGCTCTCCACCCAGGGTCACTACTAGCCCATATGGCATCTATGTCTGAATTAGAAAAAGGCACCCCTTCCTCTTTGTGGATACAGCCATGCCAGGGCACAGCTTGGCAGGCCGAGTGCATGCTGAATTTCAGCCGCCATCTGCCCTCTGTGCAGGTTGGCCTTTTGCAGTGAACAGCCTGCACAACTGTACGTGGTGGCCTTGCCTATACTCAGTGTTACTAGCTCTCATTTCTCTTGTGGGAAAGGTGGGTGTTGGAGAGGGAAGGGAAAGAAGATGTTTGTTGCTGTACGTTGTGGACAGGTTCCCCAAGAATGACACTGTACTGTGGGCATGTTTTGAGGTCTGGGAGAGTTTCAGGGCATTTTACAGCTGGGCCCACTTTCCCTGGGACTGAGAAGTAGGGCTTAGAAATTATGGCAGTCCTGGAGGAGGGAACAGCTGGTCAGTCTGCCCATAATCCTGCCCAGAAACCTGACAGCAAACAGCCCTGGATTTGCTCATTTGAATGCTTTAAGGGAATTTCCAAGAACTCTTCACCCTCTTCTGAGAAAAAGAAGGCAGGTCCATGGTGCTATTCTCCCCTTGCCTCCCATGGAGATTTGGTCTGTGGTTAGGACATCTGGGCACAGGAAGTATTAACCCGTCTCCGCTTTCAGATCTAAATCCAATCACCTGTCAAGGGGCTTGCCTTCCTCACTTTGATGAATTAATTTACAGAGCTCTCCATGGTGTGGTCTGGGGGTGTCAGGAGGGGGCAAGTCTAGAAGATTCCCTGTGGGATCTCAGGGGTATCATCTTCCCCAGCTGTAACCCAGCATAAACACCTCTAAAATTGAATGAATAGCACATAGCATGTCCCTAACATGAATAGACCTCGGGAGGAATCATAACATCTATTTTTTTTGTTTTTGGTAAATGGATACATTAATAGACCCAACATAATCCTGTAAGTAACCAAGGGCTATCAGGAAATGCAGAGATATTTGTTCATTTCCTATTCATTCATTCATTCATTCATCAAACTACTGAGTGTCTACTATGTGCCAGCCCAGTGTTAGGCTCTGGGGGTGAGGAGGTGAGTAAGAGAAATGCGCTTTTGCCTTTCATTTGAATGCCATCTTCCCAGACCACCCTTCCATGACCACCCTCTTCCCAGACTTGGGACCTCCTGAGAACACTCCCTTTTGGTAAACAGCCCCCCACTTTAATTACTTGATCCATTTTTGTCTTCCCCACTAGACTCAACCTCAGGAGGAGAGAGACCATGTCTGCAGGAATCAAAATGAATCAGCACCAATCCTGGCCCAGGATGATATGGGTTGACTGAATCAGTTGTTCCCCATCGAGTGTCCTGGAAGTCAGAATGGCTCTTCCCCTGTGATGGCCCTGGGCTTAGGCCATCTGGCCCCTGTGGAGAGTCTAATCCCAAGTGAGAATTCTGCTCCTGAGAGGGCCAGGACCAGACAAAGTCTCAGGGCCTTAAGGCAGTGACTCTAGGACAGATGGGACTCTGGAGGCCTGGATGGTAAAGGAGTAACTGGAGCTCAGGGATGCAGGCCAGGTTAGAGGCATGCTCTCCCATCCATTCCAGGTGCCCAGGTTCCAGGCTGACCCCTCTTTTAGGAAAGAAGTAAAGACATTAAGAGTAACCCTCTGTGGGCCTGTGCTGACCTATCTGCCACCTCAACCCCTGGGTCTGCCAGAGGCATGAGTGACATGGGAAAGGGGAGTGACTTGGTGGCTGCTTGGTCTGTCTCCTGTACCCCAAAGCTCTGGGTTTGATTACACTCACTGTCACGGTGCACAGAACCTGCGTCACCACAGGGGAAATCAGCTGGGTCCTGATTGCTGACAGCATTGTTTTATTCTTGCTAAGCTACTACATCTTGGCTCTGTTGTTATGTTTCCAATAGCAACAGGAGGAAAGGCAACTTTTTCTACTTCGAGAGTTTATTTTTCCTCCTGTAGGATGGGCTGTAAAGAGCCCAGGGCCCCAGCCTGAAGACAAGATGCCCTGGGGGACCGTAAGGAGAAGGCCAGTTTAGCTCTGCCCCAGGCAAACGGGGAGACTGGGGTCATGGAGGAACCAGGAGCCAGGAGCTATCAGCTCTTCTGGAACTGGGCTCAGCTGCCCTCTTTAGTTTTGAATGGTTACAAAATATCCATGGTGGCTGAATGGCAAGAGAAGAAAGTTGGCTATGGAGAAGTGCAGTGACATCATCAGCACCTTGGGCATCACTTGGGATGTGAAGACAAAGAGAATTACCCTGCAAGCGTGGATGAAAAATATAGGGGTTCTCTCTGGCAAGGGGCTTTTGCTTCCCATTGAGGAAGGAGCTGCCATCATGAATGGGTGGATGGATGCATGGACAGGTGGGTGGGTGGATGAATGAATGAAACAATGAGCATGGGATGGGATTTTCCAGGGATTGAATGAGTGACAAAGGAAGGAAAAATAAGTAAAAAGTCAGGAAATGCAATGAGGCGGTTAAACTATCTTACGTAGAGATTGTCAAGGAGTGATTTGGAAAGGCCTTACCCCCCTCCCCTCCAGTCTTCATTGGCTTCCCCTAAAGTCATTCTAAATAAATAAACATGCAATCTAAGTGAAAAATAGAGTGTTTACTATACAGAACAGCCTGATGAAGGCCCCCTAGCTCCTGCATTGCCCAACATTCCATCCATAGGTTCTCCTTTACAGAAACTCCTGAGCTGCTACTCATCAACTGCAAGGCATTGTGTCTGCTTTCTCCAAATCCCATCCCAGACCAATTGTATTCGGGCTGTGGACAGACAGGTGAGGGCCTGAAACATGATTAGAGGACATTGGGAAAATAAACTTTAGATTCACTTGAGAATAGGAAGAGTTAAGGAACCTTAAGCCTTTCAGTCACTCCTACTTAAGGATTTGGGGTATTAATTAACAATAGCAAATCATTGGGTAGATTGTCTCTGCTCTCCCTTCAGTAAAAAATGTTAAGTACAGCCTTTCCCCAGGGAAGGACCAGTAGGAATAGTTCACTGGGGCCAGGGTCAAGGGTTAGGGGTCAAAGGACTATACTCTCTAAGCCTTGAACCAATAGTGTGAGCAGCTAGTACAGAAGTGAGCAAGGCTCTTCTTTCATCGAAGGTTCTTAATCAGAAACCAGAGCTGTCTAGAGGGCCACAGTGAGTCAGATTACAACAGCTACCCATGGTGGGGATGGGTCAGAAGGGGTCATGTAGAGGCTGTAGGTAAGTTTGCTATTCTTAGGCCCCTACTACCTCAGGGGTCTGCTGACTCACTTGGGAACCTCTGGACTCCTGGGTAGATCCAGTCCAACAACTTGCCTAGTTCTTGGGTAATCTTGGATTGCCCTTAATGCTAATAAATAATAAGACAATATGGACTTTTTTCTCTAAAAGAAAGATGCAATATCATTTTTAAGCCAATGCAAGAGGTAAGGTGAGGAAGTCTGATTCCCAGAGAAGCATCAGTTTTACCCCAGATCTTAGAAGGACTCCTGGAGGGAAAGGGAGAGAGAGGGGCTAACCCTGGAGTAGTGACCCTGGAAGCTTTGGTACTGAGTCCCAACAGGGGTAGGAGAAAGGTACATTATATTTCGGGCAAGGATCAAATGAAAGTCTAGGAAAAACATCAACCTTGGAGACTGAATAGGCTTGCCACATTAGAAGCCTCAAAAAGGGTCTTAGGTGTCCCTTTGATCAAGGAGTAGACAAAAAAGGTGCCCCATGCAGAAAATAACCTCCTCAGGAAGGCAAGTAGGTTTAATGGGTTTTCACAGAAGGGTGGGAGACCATTTCATTTTCCCTTTCTTAGGACAGGCATCTGGGGATGCTTGCCCAGGAGGTTATATGTTCACTGTGGCCTAATGTCTTTCAGAGTAGACTGTCACTAACTCTGATTCCTCCTGCTCATGGATTCCTTCCACCAGACCTTTGGCTTCCATTTGTAAATGTGCTTCAGCCTGAGGGTGGGGGATTGGAGGGAACTGTAGTACCTGACTGTCTAACTTGCTTCCTTGACTTCAGGACTAACTTTTTTAAAACTCATGACTTTTCCTTCTTTATTTAAAATCTCTATCTTTTAACATTTTAATTAACTCATTTTATTGATCTATCTTTCTAGTTAATAAACAAAAATAAATCTTCTCCAGGGAGCATGTATCAGAAGGGAAAAGAGTTCCTACTGGCTAGGGCTAAAAGCTGAGTTGCTTGTGTGAACTTGACCTTGAGCATGATCCCCAAATGACAGTTGTCTCCATGTGAGTGGTTTTTATCTGGTCTCCTGCTCTCTTAGCCCTGACCAGGCTATATCTGTTGCTAAGACCTAGAGGAAGAGACTTGGGTTAGCCCATGAAGCAGAGCAGCTAAGCTAGGAATTCTAAGAACAAGGGACAAAAGAAACAGCAGGTAGGGAAAGTGGAGGGGGCACTTCTTTCCCCAGATCTGCTGCTACGGTACAGCCTCCTGAATTTGAGTTTCTCAAGTAGTCAGGGCTAGGCTAAGGGCAAACTGAGGCTACAGTTAGTAAAGTGATCTGCCTAATGCCTTACAATTACTGGGCACTAGACGTTTTACATTTAGAGGCAGCATCAACAACCCTGTAGTATCAGTCAGAATTCTGGTGGAAAAAAAGAGGAGAATTTAATGAAGGGACTGTTTATCAAGCTATGGGCAGGGTTTAGGGGAACTAACAAAGGAAGGTGCAATACTTTAAGCTTAATAACATTGAGGGGGCATTACCATCCTTAAATCCAAATAATCAAGAGGAAGGAATAGTTAGGAGAATCCACAGAGAGTACCTGTAAGGAGGGGGCTTCCTCATAAGATGGTGACAGTGCAACTTTTGGCAGAGGGGCAAAACTAATCCACAGTGATTTGACAAAAGAGGAACCAGGAGAATAAACATCTCTTCTGTCATGTAGTTTCCTGTTTGTATCTCTCTTTCCCTGGGCACAACCAGAAACTAGAGGTCAAAGGTACCCATTGATGAGTCTAGACAAGTCGACAGCACAAAGGGTGGCAAGTGAATCTGGAGAGCAAATGTAAGATAGCCAGCCTTCCGGGAACACAGATGAGATTTGTTTGTAGTAACTTTCAAAACTGTTTGCATCCTTCTCCATTGCCATACCTGTTCCTGCATGGTTTGCAGATGCTAGAGTTTATCTGCTGCTTCCTTATATCCTGGAACCCCCAGCCAGGTTATCAGTGTCTAGTTTCTGGACCTGCCTGCTATCATTCCATTTCTTTATCAAAACCTGTTCTTAAGATTTTTGCCTCTGGCCATGACAAAGCAACAGGATCCAGATTTACCCTTCCCCTGTACACAACTAGAAAACAACAAGATAAATGTACTGATGGCTTCAGAGACCGTACAGCACATAGTGCAAAACTATGACCCATGAGATAAAGAAAATACATGTGGTGAGTGATCACCACAGTTTCTGATTGGAGGCACATTCTGGACTTTACAGTAGGGAAAAAATATCCCAAGCAGAATATAGTAGTCTTGCTGAGTTAAAATATAGAAATGAAGCTCAAGGAGACTGGAGATTGAAGCTGTGGGACAGCATTCCAGAAAAAGGGGACTATGTTAAAAAAAAAATCTCCAGAAATCTGCACAAGTGCTCTATTGAGTGATTAATACTAAGATGTTCATACCCAGAGTGAAGCTTTGTAAGTCTGGGCAAAGAATGACCAGGAGCTATAAGCTGAAAAATTCAGAGAGTTCACATGGGATTCTGAGATATATAAATATCAACCAGCTTGATCACCTGAGGCATTCAGTAGAGGTCCGGTAAGGATCATATGTGAATAGTAGGACTGAACTATCTCTAGAATAAAAGATTTAGGCTCATTCTAACAAAGCTGAAAACAGGCCTCTAAAGGAATAATCTTATTCGTAAGTAACTACCTGCCAGATAAAAACTCAATACTCTTTAAAGGAGGATTTAAAAATATACAGACATTCAACAGTGTAACCTTTAAAATATCCAACATCTAAGCAAAAATTACTAGACTCACCAGGTAGCAGAAAAATGTGACTAATATCAAGAAAAAAGTCAATTAATAGAAACATGCCTGAAAATGACAGAGTTGAACAGACAGGAATGAACAGACAGGCACATTAAAACTGTTTAAGTATGCAAAATACACTCCAGGATTTTAAGAAAAACACACATAAAATGAGGAAGGAATGCACCTCTGGTGGTGAAAAAGACAGTATCTGAAATGAAAGGTCAGTGGCTGAAATTCAAAGCAAATTGGATGCTATGAGGAGAAAAGTAAAACTGAAAACAGCAACGGGAACTATCCAAAATGAAGCACCAAGAGGAAGAAGCCTTAAAAAAATAAACAGAAAGAAATGAACAAAGTCCCATTAACCCTTGGGCAATATCAAGTGGTCTAACATATGCGTAATTTAAAAAGAGAAAAAAGGGAGAACAAAATTTTGACAAAATCAAAGCTGAAAATTTACCAAATTTGATAAAAACTATAAATACCACAGATCCAGGGATCACAATAAACCCCAATCAGAATAAACAAAGAAAATCTTACCATCATACCAAGGTATATCATAATAAAATTACTAAAATTAGTGATAAAGAGAAAATTGTAAAAGTGGTCTGGAAAATGATATATTTTATAGTATTATAGAGATAGGATATACTGCAGACTTCTAAGCTATGCAAGCCAGAAGACAATGGAATGCTATATTTGATATACTGAATAACCAATGAACTCAAATTCTGTATCCAGTGAAAATATCTCTTAAAAATGAAAGCATAATGAAGACTTTTTGAGTTAAATGGAAGCTTAGAGAATTCACCACCAGGAGATATACATTAAAGAAAGGTTAACATAACATATGTTTATCCTCAGGTTTACCATTTCTGGTGCTTTTCATTCTTCTGTGTAGATCCAAGTATTATTTTCCTTCTTCACGAAGGAGGAGGAAATTGTAAATATAAAAACACAAATAGTTTAAAAGCGAAAGAATGAAAAAATATATATTTTACAATGCTTATCGTAAGAGAGCTGGAGTAGTTATATTAATAATAGAAAAAGAAGTTTTTTTTTTTTTTTTTGAGACAGTCTTGTTCTGTCGCCAGGCTGGAGTGCAGTGGCGCAATCTCGGCTCACTGCAACCTCCGCCTCCTGGGTTCAAGTGATTCTTCCGCCTCAGCCTCCCGAGTAGCTGGGACTACAGGCGCATGCCACCACACTCAGCTAATTTTTGTATTTTTTAGTAGAGACGGGGTTTCATCATGGCGAGAATGGTCTCGATCTCTTGACCTCGTGATCCACCCGCCTCAGCCTCCCAAAGCGCTGGGATTACAGGTGTGAGCCACCACGCCCGGCCAGAAAAAGAAGATTTTAAGACAAGGAATAGCACTAGAGGTAAAGAGAGACAATTTCATAGTGACAAAATGAAAAATTGAAGAGGATTTAACAATTCTAAATGTTTGTGCACCTGCTGGCAGAGCTTCATAATATATGAAACAAAAACTGACGAAATGTAAAGAAGAAATAGACAAATCCATAGTCATAGTTTGAATATATACATTTCATCATTCCTCTCTCAGGAATTAATAAAACAAATAATAGGCAGAAAAATCAGTAAATTGGTAAGGATATAAAAGAGATGAACACAAGTATCAATCCATTTGACCTGACACCTACAGAAGACTCCACCCAACAATAGCAGAACACCTATTTATTTTCATTCCATGGAACAGTCACCAAAATAGACCATAATTTGGGCCATAAAAAACAACTAAGCAAATTTTAAAAATTTGAAATCTCACCACAGAATTATTAAATTAGAAGTAAAACACAGAAAAATGTTCAGAAACATACACAAATATTTGGAAGTTAAACATTATATTTTACATATTCTATGGGTCAAAAAAGAAAATGCGAAGATAATTTAAAATTATTTTGAACTGAATGAAAATGAAGACATCACCAATTTAAAGTTTACAATTCAGTGGTTTTTACTGTAGTCACGATGTTATACAATAATCACCACTATCTAATTCCAGAAAATTTTCATCACTCAAAAAGAAATCCTATACCTATTAGCAGCCAGTCGCAACTCTCTCCTCCCTGTATCACCTGTAAATTATGAATCTATTTTCTGTTTTTACATATTTGCCAATTTTGTATAGTTCATATGAGTGGCAGAAGGAATTTTAAAGTTTTAAATGCTTACATTAGAAAATAAGAAAGGCCCATTTTTGACTTGATTACCAACATAATTCAATAGGGATAGAATAGTCCTCTCAATGAACATCCATGTGCTGCAACACATGGATGGTCATAAGTAAAAGAATGAAGTTGGAATCTTACCTCACACCATATACAAAAATTAACTCAAAATGGATCAAAGACTTAAATGTAAGAGCTAAAACTGTAAAACTTTTAGAAGAAGTATAGGTGTAAGTCTTTGTGACCTTGAATTAGGTCATGGTGTCGTGGCTATGACATTAAAAAAAAAAAAAGAAATATTCAAGAAGATAAACTGAAACTCATTAAAATTAAAAATGAAGTGAAAATAAAACCCGTGGCATGGGAAAATATTTGCAAATCACATGTATGATAAGTGACTTATATCAAGAATATATAAAGAACTCTTACACTGCAACAACAAAAAGACGACCATTTTTAAAAAATAGGCAGAAGATTTGAATAGACATTTCTCCAAAGAAGACACACAAATGGCCAATAAGAACCTGAAGAGATACATATAGTATTTCACACTCACTAAGATGGCAATAATTTTAAAAAAAGAGGCAATAATAACTGTTTCAAGAATGTAGAGAGATTGGAAGCCTCATATGCTACTGGTTAGAATATAAAGTGGTGCAGCTGCTTTAGAAAACTGTTGTTTTCTCAAAAAGTTAAACATATGAGCTAGGTCAATTGTTCATGTGACTAGCAATTCTACTCCTAGATACGTACCCAAGAGTATTGAAAATACACGTCCACACATGCTGTTTATGAATGTTCATAGCAGCATTATTCATATTAGCCAGAAAGTGGAAACAACTCAAATGTGCATCAACTGACAAACAGATAAACAAAATGTGGTCTATCCGTACCATGGAATATTACTCAGCTATAAAAACAAATGAAATTCCAATACATGTTACAACATGGATGAACCTTTGAAACACTATGCTTATTGAAAGAAGCCAAACAGAAAAGGTCACATATGGTATAATTCCATTTATATGAAATCTCCAGAATAAGCAAATCCATAGAGATGGACAGTAGAATAGTGGTTGCCAGAGGAAAGGGAAAGGAGGAGTGACTGCCAATGCATATGGAGTCTCTTTTGGGGATGATGAATATTTTGAACTAGATAATGGTGACAGTTGCACAATTTTGTGAATATACTGGAAATCATCAAATTGTACAGTTTAAGAGGGTGGATTTTATGGTATGTCAATTATATCTCAATTTTTAAAAATAAGCATTTGGTACAAATGAGTTTATACCCCAGTGCTAATAACTGATAAAGGCTTAATGAGAGGCTCTTCTCAGCCATATGGTTCAACTCGGACCAACTCCTCCCCACAAAGGCTACAGAATCTATTTTTTCAAATGAAAAGTCCAGCTCTTGGGACCTTTGTTCTTAGCTGTGGTTGCTACCAGGCTGCCTCTGAAGCCTGAAAAATCCTGTAACAGGCAGTAGAGGTTGCATTTTTTATTTTCGTATCTATGCTTACTTTCCTGCAGTACGAGTTCTTTAAAGTCTATTGCTAACTTGCACTTATAGGCTGAATTGAAAGAATAAAAGATCATAGTGAAGCACTTTACAGTTTATAAAAAAGCATGTTCACATTGACCACCCTTCTGATCTTAGCATTTAGATTGAAATTGGGAATTCTGAATGGCCACACAACAGCAGCCCCTAAACTCTGGCCCCAACTTCTCTGACTCAAAAAATCGAGTGAGAACAACTAAAATGTGTTTCTGAGCAAGTTATGGGGAAATGGCCTCCCACTCGCCCTCCCAAGAATATTATGAAAGCTCTTGGCCATTTAAAGAACTAAAGAACAACTTCCACTGACAATCTTTTTTTTTTTTTTTTTTTTTTTGAGATGGAGTTTTGCTCTTGTTGCCTGGGCTAGAGTGAATGGTGAAATCTCAGCTCACTGCAACTTCTGCCTCCCAGGTTCAGACAATTCTCCCGCCTCAGCCTCCCAAGTAGTTGGGGTTATTAGGCGTGTGCCACCACGCCTGGCTAATTTTTTTTATTAGTAGTAGATATGGGGATTTCACCATGTTGGCCAGGCTGGTCTTGAACTCCTGACCTCAGGTAATCTGCCTGCCTCAGCCTCCCAAAGTGCTGGGGTTATAGGC